CATTTCGTGCGTGCCCGCGGGCGCTCTCTGCGCTCGGGGAACCACATCCCTCTGGGCGACCTCCGCCGCAGCCCGGCCTGCGCCGCCAGTAGCCGGCGGTGGCCCACTCGGCAGGTGCCCGCGGCAGCTCGCCCCTCAGCCCCAGCGCTCGGCCCCTCCTTCTGCCAGCCGTGGGTCGCCAGGGCAGGAAGGGCCCACCGTCGTTTTTCAGCGTTTGTTTGAGGGATGGTCGCCGGGGATGCCCACGCTTAAATATCTCATAATCACAGAATCTTCTAGGTTGGAAGGGACCTTAAAGATCATCTTGATCTTGTCCAACCGTCAACCTAATTTTGACAAAAATAAACACCCACACAACAAAAAGCAACACCATCACTAAACCGTATCACCCAGCACTACATCAACCCGTCTTTGGAACACCTCCAGGGGGTTCAAAATCATCTCCTTTTATTAGGGAGGGATGTGTGAAAGCGCAGCGTGGCAGAGTCGAGGCCAGAGCAGGTGCTGGTCGCTTGTCGTGAGGAGCGAGCAATCTGTGAAAAAACCTTGGGAACGGAACAGTTTATTTATATAGGTCTTGGCTACAGGATAAATCTTTTGCCTTTATTGATTTACGGCTAGAAGTTTTTGGCAAACTGGTCCTATATGGGCAGATTAAACCACCCCAAGTATTTTAGAAATTTAATAATCCTCAATTTGTGTAGTAGCTTCAAAATGCAGGCTTCTGACTTTTTCTGCTGCTTTACCATATGGATGGAGCTCTGCATGTTACTGCTTGAGCATTTATTTACCTTTATTAGATTCTAGCCAGCAGAGTGGAAATACGAGTAATCTCAAGACCTGTCGAATTTGATAACTTTCTGTTCAGTAACTTTCTGTTTAGTAAGCTTAATGTTACATGCCATTCTGTGGAATATTTTCTAGCAGATGACACCACTCCCTCACAGATCCGGGATGCTAAGGGCGGAACCGTTACTCCCTTGCACATTTTAATTGTTATTGAATCTGACTACCTGCAGCAGAGCCCACTTCATCTGAGAGTAGTCAGGTAAAGATGTGAGAAAATTGCTCATGAGAAACATACTTCTCGATTGGTGCCTCCATCTCATATGTTATTTGTCCCTCTTTGTTTACTGTAGTTGTCCATTTTTTCATTCTTCTAGTTCTTCATGCTATAGTTAAATTAGAAGTTTCAGCAAATAAAATATAAAAGAGTGTGCTGTGTTCACTTTAAAAAAACCTAAACATTTAAGCATATGCTTATTTTAAGCTTTTGAGTAAAATTGCATGTGAGTAAAGTATACCTGTAGAAATTCATAAATTGCAATGTATTCATTCACAAGACAGTTAAACAATAAATGACCTTGTTCTAAAGTTCTCAATAAGGGTGCTTTTTTCACTGGGGCAGTAGGGACTTTTGCTGGGCAGATGTACTTCTAACAGTTACCTTTTAGGTCCCTCCATTGCAACTGTCTTTGATTTAGACAGTAAAATAGTGTTTTATTATTCTAGAGTAATCCTTCGACAGCTTCAGGAGAGTGGTGTGGTGTCTGCGTGTGTGTATACTTGATGACCTCCTTTCTGTCGACAGTTAAAATAATTTGCAGTCTGAAATCACAATAGAAAGCAAGTTAGGTAGTGTGTCTGTGGAAAAGTTTATAGTTGTGTTTTGTTAGTTGGGTGTTCATGACAATTTTTGAGCGTATCAGGTCATAGATGCTTATATCTGTATTAGTGAACTTCTGGTCCCTTAGAAGGCAGTATTAAGTTACCACATTTCAGTGGTGGAGAGCTAAGACAGAAGACATTTCTTAAGGCCACCTATGATGAATGGGCCTGATCTGAAAACCGACTCTAAATTTCCTTAATCTCCATCTGTTCTTTAACCCCTCTTTTTATGAGAACACTGTTCAATTTGGTTTTTGTGCTTCATAGAACTAAATGAAATACATGTCATTTGTATTGTAATCAAATGTATTGTGGAAAAAAAAAAAAGCATTACAAAGTGATGTAGGGATTCTTGCAACATAGAATGAGGTGGTGTCACATGCCGGTTGTGTCTGGACTGAGGAGAGTCTCATCTGTTCCAAAAACTTGTGATCTCGAATATTGGTTTTTAAGAAATGCTGTATCCTGGGGAACAAGCACTTTATTCAATTACTTTCTTAGTTACAACATTTCAACATGGCATGGAGTAAGTGCAGCTGCCTGCTATTAGGTAGGGTTGTGTTTAAGATAGGTTACTTTTTTTTTCCTGCCTGTCCTAAACTGAAGAGGAAGTTTCGTGTCTCTCCCAAACTGTATGCTTTAGAAAAGTTATTACCCCCCTCCCCCCCCGGCCCCTCATTTCTTTTCATTCTTTGGCAGAGTGCAGCAGAGAGGACTGTTACTGTCAGTGGGCTTTAGCAGTCATCTGAAAATATCTTTTCTGCTGAGACTACTTTGCAAACATTTAGATGGTTCTAGCCATTTTCTACGTCGATTCTCTCTCACTTAAAGCCAGGACTTTTAAGCTGCACTTTGTAGTCTGGAGTTGATATTTTTTGCTGTTTAACCACGGTAGTGAAGGTTGTGGCTCTTGCTTCTATCCAGCTACCATCTGCAGGCTTCTTTCTAGATGTGACATATTTTTCATGTATGTAGCAACTAGTGTATCTAACACTGCCAAACTTTTTTTGTATGTGATCATTCAGTGCCCATCAATAGCTATAATGGAAACAGAGGGCTATGTGAGGAAAAAGCAATAAATAAATAAATAAATAAATGTGTGGTATGTATGCCTGTGAATTAGCCTTCTTCATTCATGAGTGAAACCTAAGCTCTCTGGCAGGAAATGGAGAATGATTCGTATGAACACCCATGAATTCACAATTGCTTGTATTGGACTTGAAGTCACTTAACCCGTTTTTCAGTATGCTTTTCTGTTCTCAACAGGTGCTTCATTTCACTATTTTATCTGATCCCACTCTTTTTTATTTCCTTTTTGCATGGAGGAAAAATCCAGCAAGACTTCTGGGTTGTTTTGTTGCCTTTTTGCACTGCATGACTCATAAAGTTAAAAAAGCAGCCTGAAATTTGTGAGGCTGCTACTTAAGTAAGCATAGAAAAATAACTTTTTTAAACTGTCTTACAGTAAAAACAGTCATTAGCAAAACATGAGATGGCTCTGGGGTGACAGTAGCACTGTGACCAGGCTGTGACGTGGACATTCTAGGAAATGCTTTCTGCCTATATGTCACTGGGAAAATGGAAAGTTCCAGTTTGTTGTCATGGTGCGAAATTGGCATGTTTTAGTGATACAAGAGAAGGATTTCCCAAAAGTAAAAGTTAAAGCCTAGTCCCTTTGAAGTCAGTCTTGTTGGTATCAGAGCAGACAGGAGTTTATTTTTTGGCCTTATAGGTACTCAAAATTGCTATGCACTGCTGTATCTGCGTGTTTTTTTTATATATTCAGTTTACTAAAATGAGATATCACAATGAAATTCTGCTTGTAAAATGCTTGGGTTAATATTGATTTTGGAAGTAATTTTTGAAGTGTCTTTTTTTGGCACTCACCTCAAATACTCCAAAACCTTGTTTTCCTTTGCATTTCTTTTCTAGAGAATAAAAGATTTTCTTCTGCTCACTGATATTTTTGTATTTGCAAAACATCCATTACTGCAGTGTTAAAAGCCGGTTGAGATGTCTGAGGACTGTTCTTCAGCTCTGTAGAAACAGCCATGTCTTTTTTGCCTTCATTCAGTTTTCCCTCTTTGCACCAGTGGCCTGATAAAGTTGCAACACTTTGTGCCTCTGGTGTAGCTTTTATCTCAGGCAGTTCAGTTCCACGGGCTTTCTTGGCACAAGCCTGCATGGCACAGATATTGAGAAGTTGGCTCATTTTGTCTGTCTTCTTTTGCAAGGAAGTTCTTCCTTAAGGAACTTTCCAAACACTGGATAATACAAACCATTGTGATGTATATAGCACTCTTTGAAACCTTACTGATTGAAACCTGTCATTCAAACAGAATATGGCCCTGCGCGTGTCTGTGCTGCATCTAAAACAAATGGAGAAGACAAGCTCATGAGAGTTTCTGAAATACAAGCAAAATTTATCTTAACCTTATGTCACAGAACAGGTGTAGAAGGGTTTCCTAATTGTCTTCTCTGCAGTACTTAAATTAGATTACATGTAATTAACACTTGCTTTTACCGTGGGACCCTTCCAGTAGCAGAGCGTTTGCTTCAGGTAATGGCGTGAGGAGACAGGCGGCCTCATCTCCTCTTGGGAAGGTGCTGCAGGGGCTCGGAGAGGCCCAGTGCCCTGCAGCGCAACGGGGAGCCTCCGTGTGCACTGTGGCTGATGCTCAGAGCTGCCCTGGGACTTTGGTGTTGAGGGCACATCCTGCCTGCATAGAAAGCTCCATCCCAGCAGCGGGTTTGGGGGGTTTGTGTGGGTGTGGGTGAGCTCTGCAGTCAAGCCTGGAAGATGTAGCTGCATCTCAGCTAACTGCATAGGTAGACTTTTGGCTGTGACTGTTGTCCTGCTGCAACCTGGTTTGTGTTTGACACCTTCAGCTATCCTGTTCCACCTCAAGTCAAGCCGCATATGGCCATGTTTGAGTGCATGTGACTGTGTACATGTGTGTAGACTTCTTAATGCTGGGGCTGCAGGTAAAACACCATAGCCTCTACTAACTTGTGTCTAGGAGCTATATATTACTACTTTCTCTTAAACATGTTTCACTCTTTCCAATACAATTTTAAATATTGACGATTCATCTACACTGAGTTGTTCTCCCCTAGTCTTTTCTCCTTTTCAAAATTGTTAAGTGTGCTGTACAGGCTTCTCAGCTCGTCTGTATCTTTAAGATCCCTGCCTCTGCCAGCGCTCAGGAAGCTGGTGGTTTGGTTTGGACAGAGAGGCAGCAAGGGGAACTGGAGCCCTGGAGGCTCTGTGCTCCCTGCCTCTCTGCCTGCTGGCTACAGAGGGCCGGCAGCCAGGCTGAGCAAGCTTCAGCCTAGTCAGCAGCATGATATTTGGCCCTTCAATCTCCATTTCTTCTCTTATAAACCTACTTAAGCTGTAAGTGGACTAGTAATTTCAAGTGGTACTGGCTGATAGTACCTGTCTGATTTTTTTAAAGAGGCTGTGCTTAGGACTAAGCATAAATTGTCAGGATTCACCTGCATTGCAATTGTTATTTCAAGCCACATTTAAAAAAGCATATGCTAGAAAATTTAAGGCTCATCCTTGCAATCTGTCTGTGTTGCATTTTAAGTCCAGTCACTTATTGCAGGTTGAAGCCACTGGGTCTCAGCACTGGAGCAAATTTAAGGAGATTCTGTGGTATTTCTGAAAACATGTGGCGCACCCCAGGCAACATGTTGCATAAGGAGGTTGTGCAATCCCAAACTGCCTAAAGTCTGTCATACTTCGTATACCTTGCCTTTCTGTTCTACCTTCCTTTCCACGGCTGTGGATAAGAATTTGTACTTACTTTGGGCAAATGAGATAATAAGACTTGACATGTTGAAAAAGGCCTTTTTGTGTACAATCTGTGCCATCTGAAATCAGTGACGGCAGGCAATGCCTTCCAGGCAGTGTAAACTTTGGTAGGTGCACTCTGTGCTCCATATAGCCTTTGAGGGAGCTTCAGACTTACCTCTTTGAGGTGAGCATGACCAGATACTCTCTGTACATACTCAGAATATTCAGGCTTGCATAAGTAAACTACGGATATGGGATGAAGATCCAGAAACCATTTATTGTCTTACTGCTGTATGCTACTGATAATCAATGTTCAGAGAGTCCCTGCTAGTACCAGGAGCACCTGCTTCTGAAGTACAGGTACTCCCGGCAATTAAATGGTTTGACTGATGCCATTTGCTACTTCGCTTGAGAGAGAAGAAATTAAAGCCACAGATGGGGTGAGAGGTGTGTAAAATGTGCAGGTGAAGAGGAAATTATTCTAAATGTTTTAGCTTTCGTATTCACAAAAAAATAATAAGCCCTTTTTACAGTTTTTGTTCGAAAAAGAATCCTTTCAAAATTTAAATGAAACTGCTTGAGAAAAAAATATGAAAAGGTTCTTTATGTGAAACTTTAATGTGAACATTCATTAGCTAAATGTTTGGTTTAAATTTTGTAGTAATATGGATTCAGTGGTGATGAATCAGACAAACCAGAAGTGGATAATTTAATTCAAACATCATTGACCCTAAAGGCTATGCTAAATTCCAATGAAGTAATTCCTCTTCTAATTCCGGTCACAAATGACCCTTTATTGCTGCTTTCTGCTCAAAACACCTCTTATAGGCCCTCTACATCCTTCATAGTGTAAGTGTCTTGATTCCCTAGGGTATCTCTTTCCCTATCATTTTCTGCCCAATTCCATTTTACTGGCTTTAAAAACATCAGAAAAGTGTTTTAAGTGTAGGTGTTAGATTGTAGTCTGTTTGTGGCAATATGTCCAAGGCAGTCTTTTGTGCCAGTTTTCAAGGATCAAACAAGTTATATTCAATTTCAGCATCTTCATGCAGAGCGCTTCTTGAATTGGGCCTTCTCCTGATTTCACTGGAATTATGTATGAGGTGTAACTCAGAGTGTGTTTCATTCCTATCACTTCAGACAGTCATCACCGTTAATTGATAATCTTGGGAAGTTATTTATTCTGGAGTTTAGGACACAGTGACGTTACAGTGATGTGAGCGAAACGCTTTACTTTTTGATTTTTAAACCAGTAGGCCCAGTTGCTATCTTTTTTAGAATTCAGAAATTACTGTGATGAGTATTTACAAATTTCACAGAACATTTTGTTCTCTGATTTAAATCCTGCATACCAAGTGCTTGCCTGGGGCAAAGACAAAAAAAGTTAGCTTTGATACTCCAAAACTGGTTGAATAAATCCTGTGCAGCTGGCCTGCGTGAAATGTGCCCAGTGACAGCAAGCTGCAGAGAGGATTCAGAGGGTTAGGAAAAGCTCAGTGCCTGTCAGATGGTAGGAATGTTTTATTGCTTTCGCTGTGAAGGGCAGGAACATATAGGTATCCATACTGTTCAGTGTTAAGTATGCAAAGTAGTGATTGCCATGTGGTTCCCTCAGGCATAAATGTAGACAAAACTGATGCAGAAGTGTGCAATATTGCCTTCTTTGTATGTTTGTACATGCTTTGATGTTTTCCAGCTTTGGAACTGTGGTTAAAGCCTCAAGGGGAATCTGTGAGCCTGCAGCAGCTGAGAATATGTTTCTAGCACTGGACAACTGTGTGGTTGTGTGAATCATAGAATCATAGAATGGTTCGGGTGGAAGGGACCTTAAAGATCATCGAGTTCCACGCCTCCTGCCATGGGCAGGGACACCTCCCACAGATTCCTCAAAGCCCCATCCAGCCTGGTCTTGAACATTTCCAGGGATGGGGCATCGACAGCTTCTCTGTTCCAGTGCCTCACCACCCCCATCGTAAAGAATTCCTTCCTAAGTCCTAGTCTAAATCTACCCTCTTTCAGCTTAAAACCATTACTCCTCTTCCTATTGCTACACTCCCTGATAAAGAGTCCCTCCCCATCTCTCCTGGAGGCCCTCTTTAGGCACTGGAAGGCCACTATAAGATCTCCCCGGAGCCTTCTCTTCTTCAGGCTGAACAACCCCAACTCTCAGCCTGTCTTCATAGCAGAGGTGCTCCAGCCCTCTGATTATCTTCGTGGCCCTCCTCTGGACCTGTTCCAACAGGTTTATGTCCATCCTGTGCTGTGGACTCCAGAGCTGGACACATTACTCTAGGTGGGGTCTTACCAGAGAATGATGAGAATGTCTTTTCATTGTTGAGGAAATGGTGCTGTCTAGCCTGTGTTTGTCAAGGGAAATTCTTGTTGACTTATTTCAATGGGCAAGCCAACAGAGTACAGTTTACACATGTGTGTACTTGTGGATGAGATGCCAGTAATTGTTATGGATTGGAGGCTATTTTTTCTGCCTGTGCTAATTCTCACCACCAGCTCTACTCCTTCAACTGTCTCCACTTTGCTTCTTTTTGTAATATAACCCATCTGAGACATGATCCCAAGGGAAAAATTACTTAAACAAATCTAAGTCCTGGAAAGTCATGAATTAAAAGGTGTACAGTTCAGGAAAATAATTTTTGGAGTACTATGTTGTGAAGGCTGTGACCAGTTCACATGAGCAGCTTTCAGCAAGGTCATGTTTTCCTCTAATAGTGCATCAACAGGAATTTGGAAAACCTGCTTTTGCTCATGTGTCAGCAGAGTGGTTTTGGCAGTGCTCTGCAGCACTGCCTTTGTGAATCCAGCTCCATTCTCAAGCTCTAGAGACCTCCGAGGTTCTCTAGAAACAGGCACACAGGTAACTGCAAGGAATGAGACCAGATTTACGGAACTGACCTTTGGAGCTCAGAGTGGCAGGACTCAGAAAAGAGAAAACATAGATGCTTTCATTAATACAAACATTCTCAGTAATACACTAAGAGGGACTTCAAAAAGAGATGTATATGCATTGGGTCATCAACCAACTTCTAGCAAAATGAGATAAGAATATTTTCCTTGGAGACAGTTTGTCCAGTAGCTGTTTCTGGCAGGACTTTTTTTTGTGTTCTGCCTATGTCATTTTTTATTGGCTGTGCATTGAAATAACGCACTGGGCTGTGTGGACCACTGGCCTGAGCAAATACATGGCAATTCTTATGATGCCTGTGCTGAAAGACTTCTCTTAAGGGACCTTGATGGGGTTTTTATTTGTTACAGAATGGGATCACCCTTGTTCCTGTTGATGCCTGCTCATGATCTGGACTCCAGGACTCAAGCAGCACTGAGGGACACATCAGGCAACAGTAAGATTGTGTTACCTATGTAGAGGAGGATGTTGAAGTCTAGTATATGTAGTTTGTGACTTTCGCGTGTTTGATCTGAAACAAGGGACAGGAAGGTTTCTTTTCATTTTTTAAAAGAAGGTCAATGCAGAGCAAAGAGAGGAGATGAAAAATCCTTAGGAAAACCAAAAAAAGAGAGAAACAGCACTGAAGAATGGGCCAAATCTTTTACTGGTGTATATGAGCATTACTCGTATAACTTCAAGAGAGTACATGCTTTAACTGAGCATCTACCAGCTGAGGACTTGGCCCATAATGTCCTTTATAAAGCTCTGATTCCTCCCCAAATAGTTTTCCCCTCCCTCTTCAAAGAGGCACCTGTTGTTGGTGGAGTTGGTGATGATACTGGATTAGTGCACATGCAGTCAGCCTGCTTGGCCTCGGCCCTTTGGACCCAAAATGAACTCCAGCTGCTGTTGCCCAGAGCAGGTGCTTCATCCAGCCCTAGCAGCTGTTTGAATGTATGTTGTCATGGCCAAGAGGAGGGGGTAGGTCCCCTCAAGGACCCAGAGGAAGAGCTGATCAGCAGGAATGACGGAAAAGGGAGTGTGCCACAGGGACCTGATTTTTATACCCAGTATTTAGCAGACAAAAATTGTTCTAGCATTTCCTTGTGGAAATGGGAAATAGTGGATGACACTCTGCACACACTGAGCTTGCACAGCACTGTGATGGATGATGGTTCCCAAAATGAGTCTGAGGGACCACTAAAGACCAGCAGGGCCGTGACAAATGGTTGATCTCTAAACTGCCAAACCTGTATTGTCAGCTGAAGATCCAATACAGGTACACGGCAGTGTGTGAAAAATACTGAGGGCTGGTAGGGCTTCACAGTTGTTCAGTGTTGTTTGTTTGAAGCCCCAGCAAGCAGCCCAGCAAAAGTGAGATAAGGCACAGAACAATGTACAAGCTGATAGTCTGCTACGCGTGATAGCTTGGGCTTCACACTTACACTGCCAAAGCCAGCAGCAAGGGAAGAAGACAAAATCAGAGATAATCAGGGGTTATGAAGCAGCCACAGGGGACAGTGTTGGGGAAATGGAGGATAAGGAGATGATGTGGGGGCATATAGACATGTGGATGGTTGGGAGGTAGCAACTACAGTTTGAGGAGGGGGCTCAGGTAGCCCATGTCAGAGATAAAGTAGCAGCAACCTGGGGTTAGAGTGAAAGGACAGGACAAGGACGCAGTTTTCTTGCGATAAGGGAATCACAGCTTTCAAAAGGAAGATGGCAGCTTAGAGCAAGGGCAACCCAGACCTGCAGCAGGAGGTTCTCTGGGAGTGCCTTGCAGAGCAGGGAGTCTTACAGTGTAAGCTTTCAGAGTCATTCCCATTGCTGGTCTCACAACCGGCCCCTCCAAAACTCTGCCTTCAATTTATTCCCCTTGGACTGTTCTCACTGACCTGGGAGAGATCTCTGTGCAGTCCTACACTCTGTGATTATTAACATGCTGCCAGCAACAGTCCTCCTGGCCTCCATTTCCATGACCATGCACCAGTCCCTCTTTTGGCTGTGTCTGTATATGTCACTGTCAGCATTAACACCAAATTTAATGTGACTCCTTAGGTTCCTGTCCTCCTAAAGTTGCCAGAGTCCTTCCAGTATCTCTGATAACCTGCTTGTCCATTTTATATCCCTGCCCTGTGCATGGTTTTGGTCTTATCCCATCAGCCAGGCTTTTCATTCTGTGTATCTTTGCTGATTGCTCAGCCACCTTCCCACTGAACCTGCATGAGCAGGGGTAAATGCTAAGCAAGAACATTTCCCTGTGTAGCTATAAAAGGATTATTCAGGCCACATTTCCTTACAGCATGGGCTAAGAGCAGGAGAAAAACATGAATACTGGAGGCCTCTCTTTGTCAGGAAATGGGATTTCTGCAGGTGCTCAGTTGCAAATGCTCTGCGTGCTTCTAAAGCTTGGCACATGGCATTTCTAAATCCTGATTCAGGATGCAAGAATGTCTCATGACCCCTGCCATGTAAACTGGTGTCTGGCCATGTTTGGAAGTCAGCCGTCAATGATGACAGTAGATGAGTATGGGTGAAATGAGCAGCTTGGCTTCAGCACTAAGCAAGACTTGTTAAACATTGTAAATACAGATACCCAATTCATAGTTGGAATAATGAATATTATGACCTTTTCTGTAGCAAATGGTAAGAAGCTGGCTCATCTTTCTTCATCTCCTTGCTGCCTTCCCAGGATTTGAAAGTGCGACAAAGTATTTCATCCCTTTACAGAATTAGGTAAGATTGGTAACCGTAATTCTTTTATAGAATTACATAGAAATACTCTAGACAGCCAAATATATTGATTTAAGATCATCTGTGTAGTGGCAGGGAAATAATTTCCATTTTGGTTTATCCTCATCTTGGATTGATCTGTTTATCCAGCTGATTTCAATTGTTCGTTTTCAGATAAAAAACTACTCCTGCTGGTACTGGCCTGTACAATTTCTGTCCCAGGGTAGCTCTTCGATAAGCCATTCCTCCTGTTTCTATTGCTTCTACACGAAAATTAAGGAATTAACAGCATTAGAAACTCTATGTGAATGAAATTCTCAAGGCCGTTAAGAAAATAGATGCTTTAGAAATATGGGGTTTCTGTTCTCATTCCATGCTCACATCCCTTGGACATCACTGTTATACATGGAAAGAAACATCATACAAGACTATTAAAAGTGCATGACGTACATCTGTGCAAGGGGAAGATGCCCTCTGATGTGCTCCTGGTTACTGTCCCTATGTTTTTGCCACTTACAGTGAATTACCGTTCACTGGTGGTGCTGTGCATTTATCAGCGATAGTTCCCCACTGTCTCCTTATCTGCCCTGTGGCATAGCTGGGTGATACACACACCCATTGCTGCTTCGCTGGTGATGGAGTGGCAGGTGTTGCCCTGCCTTATTCCTCAGTACTTCTCTTCCTCAGCTTCCTTGCCCTGTGGTACGACTCAAGAAAAAATGGAAATGCAACTTTCTACTCCTTTTGGAGTAGTAATTTTTTTTAAATAAAACCAAACCAAATGACATTGTCAGAGTGGCCTGAGATCTATATTTAAGAGTGGCAGCATATTTAATTTTGTTTTCCAGAGATTTTTAATCACCTACGTGTGGATAAGAATTTTTGAAGTGCCTGTCTGTTGCAGATTTAAATGTAACTACATATCAAGGAGCTTTGTGGATTTAAGCCGTTCTCCAAAGATGTGTGGCAATGTCCAATGTGCTGTCTGGTGAGGAACAACACAGCAAAGCACTTCGAATGTAGTAAGTCATAACTTAATAATTGCTGGATTAAGACTAAAGAAATAAAGAGCTTTTTAGCAGGCCTCCATGAGGCCCATGTTATGCTGTGCAAGAATTCCCCATTCAGGGTCAAAAATCCTGAAAGTGCCGTTTTGTCATACAGCTGACAATTAGCTCACTGCTGGTAGGAAAAACAATCGTTAAGTGGTGAGTGAAAGTAGTGTTAGAAATGGACCTTGACAGAGTGGTAAGATACAGTTAGACCGAGTGACATTCTTCACACCTGCTGTGGTACATAACAGTAGCTGGCTGACTGAACCCGTGGCACTACAAGCAGAGCATTGTGCTGTGACACAGCCTGGACAGCGATTGAATTACACACCGATTAGGTCTTCGGCTTCTCTCTCTTAGTGCGGACAATGAAGAATCAGAGAAGTGGACATGAGAGCTTTAGCAGGCGTTGTGCTCTCGAACGGAGGAGGATTAGTTTGTAAATGGTAAATTGTGTTGGGGCCAAGAGTCGTAAAAGTGAGCCCTTGCCCTTCTGCTGCCTCAAAGGCACAGGCTTTGCAGAAAACCTCTTCTCCCCCCTGCTTTTACTGACTGCTGTGATCAGGGGAGGGGTGGGCATGTGGAATCTGCTCCTCCTTTTGTCTGCCAAAGAAGGAGGAAGACACTGGTACATTTGTACAAATTTTGCCCCTCACTGTCTCTTGCTGTCTTTTCTGAGAAAGGGCATGGGATGAAATTAATCAGTCTTCTGCCATTTCCACAGGGATGCGGATTTGCCTCTCACTGGTTCACTGCCTGGTAGAGTGTGTCTCTAAGACCTGATTTAACCTGAAGCATACAGTATCTTGGGAGGTCTGCAACAAGGCTGAAGACTTGCAAATGTTGCGTCCTTTCCCTCCTGTCATCTGCTTCCACATGACTGCAGTGTCTGTGCTTTCAGCTCACTCACCTTGAAATGCTCCTTGCGAGGGAGGTTTATACTGAGCTGGTACAGTGTGGACTTTGCTTTAGTGGCAGTACCCCATGTTGCTGTGTTGTTCATGGAGAAGATGGGGTTATCCTTGCCTTTATTCCACTGGGACCAGCTGCTCTGCACACAGAAACCAAAAGTGGCAAATCTTCAATATTCTATTTTCAATTGAAGGTCTACATTACATGAATGTCTTGGGTTTTTTGGAGAGGTAAAGCTTTTTTTAAAAAAAACCCAAACCACATCGAACCCAAGTTGGAGAAACAACTGCATCGTGTGGCTGATACATTGCATGGGGGTACAAAGCATTCCCGTTGCACCTGGTCTTGCGAATCCACTCCCTGTACCTGTTAAATGTGATAGCTGTTAGGCATGAGTGCAGACCTGGAGGTGGGCAGGACTAGTTCACCATGCAAACATCTATCTGATGGCCCCATCCTGCTTTCTAGAACCAAAGATTTCACTGTGTTAAAGCATTGTAGGAGACAGGGGGATGTAAGTGCGCTTAACCTGTGTTTGGATTAGGCATATCTCATATCTTGGAGTTTGCTAGTAAATAACAAAGTATATGATCAATGGACACACAACTTTCTTGATCTGTAACTACAAAAGAGAAAAGAACAGTCTTGAAAATCCAGCAATTTTTCAAATCATCTTAAGGTATACAGACCCTGAATCATCACAGTGAAATTCAGCAAGCATGTTCCTATTAGTGATCTAAGCATGTAGATGTGGTTGAATACATGGAAAATTGTATCTTCTTCCAGGTATCTTTATTACTGCAATAAATGATACTAACTCTCCCTACAGATCTTATCTCATCTGTTTATAGTGTTGGCGTTTACTGTGTTTTGATTTGGGAAGCAGTGCATCTCTAGATACTGTAAGATGATAAAAGGCTTTATGAGTATGCCATTTAAAAAGAATTGCTTGTGGTCTGGTTGCTAGTTTGAGCTGAGAAAAGATGCTTGTGTTTCATACTCCTGAAAGCAGTAGCAGATTTGCTATAATACACCAGTTCAGAGTAACTTGCTCATAAACTTTCAGTTCCAGAAAACTTCCAAATCTTTTGCACCTATTTTCTCTAATAGGTGGCAACTCCTTAGTACCTCCCAAAAGCTGGTCACAAGTCTGTAGGGTGTGAAGGCTTTGCTTTGGTTCATTTTTTTTAAAGCTCATTAAAAAATTATGAATGAGGTAAATTCAGCTGTTGCTCCACATAGTCACTACTGATAACTGATAGTTCATTTTCAAAATTAGAAAATAAGAGCTATTCTAAGTAGCTACTATTGGTTTTAACACTATGGAATATTTCAAACGTAAGTTTCAAAGGAAAAAAAAGACAACCAGTCGTTCGCTACTGCTGATACAGGAATGACAGAGGTTAATACCACTGACATCATGTTGGAACTGTGTAGCATTTTGTTAATGGTTATTAATGCCCTGCTGCTGGGAGACAGACAGTGCCAGCTGCCAGTTAGTGTGGTGCCTCTCTGCGGGTGTGCCTGGGCCTCTGCTCGGGAAGGAGAGGGGCGTGAGGAAGGCTCAAGTCTGCTCCAGACCCAAGTCATCCCTGGACTGAAACAGGAGGAGAAGAGATACTGAGAGAAGGTAGTTGCAGCAGCTTGCTCCTGTCTCGCTGACTTCAGAACAGGTCTTAGAGAGTGAAGTAGGAGCAGTAAACATCTACAGAGCCACGTCCAGAAGGCTCTGAGGACTCGTGTTCAGTTCAGGCAAGCATGCATGGAAATGGTGCCAGCAGGCCTGGGGAAGAAGCCTAGGTTCTGTAAGAGAGCCTTAGAGCATTGCACATCAGCAGAAAGAAGTCAGAAATGGTACTAGAGTGAAGGAAAAAAAGCCCTTGAGAGGAAGGGGAAGGAACTTTGTAATGGCAGACTGATGATGGATATAGAGCAATTAATTACCTTTGACTACATCATATTCATCGTTCATGCAGATTTGCAGGTTTAGCTGCCTCACTTGGGGCCAGCTGTTACTTTGTGAAATACCTTTGGATTTCATCTACCATAAGGGAATGAAACAGATCCAGAAAGGTGTAATACATCAGTGTAGCGTATCAAATTGGGAAAGGCATTTTTAGTAGTCTGCGCTGAACACAGGTTTAAGCCAGCATTAGATTATTCCTTAAGTGTATTGTTGTTATGAAAAATCTGAAAGGAGCTAAAAGCATTTCAGTAGATGAAAAAAGGAGACAACTTCCCTTTCCCCCAGCCTGGCCCCGGGGTGGGAGTGCCAGCCAGGTTCACACAGCCTGGCCTTGCGCCTCACAAGCGCCCTCTGGTGAGTGACCGTGGAACTCGTAGAAATCAGGTGGGAGTCCTGCGGGAGGAACCGGCTCACGGGCCTCTCCGGATCTTTCAGCTTCTAGATCTCTTTAATTGCTGATGTCATGTAACCTGACTAACGCACTGAGATTTTTTAACAAAGAAATGCCTGACGGCCTAAGGACATTCTGATAGTAACTGCTGTCTGATGTGGCACACAGACTATTGTATTCTCTTTCATGCTAAGAAAAAAAAGGGAAGATGAGCATTCAATTGCATGAACCTCAGGTTTGGGGACCCAATTTCATTTTAAAACCCATTACTTTTGCACACCCATTAATTAATAGAAATAAATGGAAACATCCATGTAATACTGTACATTTACTCTCCAATTATGTAGCCTAATACTCGAACACAGTGATTTGTATGGACATTTTATTTTCTCTGGCCACTTTTGCAGATAGAGTTGCCCATGCAAATAGTTTTCAGTCAGTTGCCATATCTTCAGTGCAACATCCTGAGCCCAGCTAGCAAGGGGATCAAGGGGAGCGGTTATTCCTCTCTGCAAAGCATTGTGAGAGACGGCATCTGAAGCGTTGTGTCCAGTTTTGGTCTCCACTTTACAAGAAAGACATTGTCGTACTGGGACAGGCCACTAAGGTGAGAGGCTGCAGCCCATGATACAGTAGGAGAGAACTTTTTAAGCAGCTGATCTGGTC